TTGTGGCTTCCATCACATGACTCCAGCACTGTTTATCCAGGCATTGGCTGAGACAGGTTTTATTGAACTTGATTGCATTTTTTTAGAATCTGATTAAATTTTTACTCCAAATGGATTAATTGTTGCTAGTTATTGAAATCTACGGATCTGCATACTGATGCTTTAGGGGGGAAAAAGGCAAATTAGCTAAAGCCCAGTTCAGAGTTGTTAGCCAACTGCATGCATTTAACACATCACATGGTTTGGCTTGTGACAGACTTCAGGACTAAAGTTGGACTTTCTCAGAAAATTGCTCAGACTGAAGCATTCATACAGGTGGTGCGCATTTCAGCCAGCCTCTGGCACTGCTGGTGAATTCATATTGCCTTTACATGATTTTTTTTTTCTTTTAGGTAGGGAGTACAAAAATTGTCTTGTTGGGTCTGTCAACATATTGTTGATGCTTTTGAGTGTGTGTGTGTATATATATATAAATGCTATATTACAAAAAGGTAAATGCCAGATTGAATTTGTGGATGTCTAAGTGTGTTGCTGTCTGTATAATCAAGAAGATATTTGGATGCTGTTGTTGTACACGCTGTACCTTCAATTGCTGAAGGAGTATAGGATGTTAATGCTTTTCATATCTTTGCTATTAGGTATCAAATGAACCTGGCAACCGCTACAACATCCAGCTGATTAATGCACTGGTGCTCTATGTAGGTACTCAAGCTATTGCGCACATTCACAACAAAGGCAGCACACCCTCTATGAGCACCATTACCCACTCAGCTCACATGGACATCTTCCAGAATTTGGCAGTAGACCTGGACACTGAAGGTAAGCTGGAAACACTTCTAGTTCATGTGATGTTGAATTTAACAGCAGATTGTTTGAGCTATGAGAAATACAGAAGATCATTTCATGTAGCTGCTAGTGAATTCACGGTAAGTAACGCTATGTTAGAATATGAAATTCTGAATACAGGAGCAATATTAAAACCAAACGTTCAAGGTATCCAAGGGAATGAGAAGTAAGTTTAATGAAGAGAAATTGAATTCTTACTGTCCCATCAGCTTGGCTTGAATAAGGTTTTTTCATATCTTCAGTTGTTCTTGTTTCTTGTACCTCCATAAGGCAGGCTCACAAACCTTAATCTTAAGCAATACTAGTTGCTGCTTTATTCCTTTTTGTGTGTAAGGAAAACCATAGGTACTCACTGTTCCTCTTCTGCAGGCCGGTACCTTTTCTTGAACGCGATTGCCAATCAGCTGCGATATCCCAACAGTCACACCCACTACTTCAGTTGCACCATGCTGTACCTGTTTGCAGAGGCCAACACAGAGGCTATCCAGGAGCAGATCACTAGGTGAGACGGAAGGCATTTAACTTGCCAGTATTTGGCTTTTCACTTTCCTTCTGTGTATTTTGGATCTTTGAGCTCTAACTGTTTTTACTTTTGGATTTCAGGGTTCTCTTGGAACGACTGATTGTAAATAGGCCTCATCCCTGGGGTCTCCTTATTACTTTCATTGAGCTGATAAAAAATCCAGCATTTAAGTTCTGGAACCATGAGTTTGTTCACTGTGCTCCAGAAATCGAGAAGTGAGTATCCATAAAATTACTAAAACAATATATCTGAAGCAGGGGCTGAGATGCACCTTGAGTTTCTGGTGCTTCATAGTGGAGGCACCATTTGCTGCCATAAACACAGCTAACGCTGCGTTGCTTCTGTGTTCAGGTTGTTCCAGTCAGTTGCACAGTGCTGCATGGGGCAGAAGCAGGCCCAGCAAGTAATGGAAGGGACTGGTGCCAGTTAAATGAGCTGCATCTTGTGTTGTAAGCGTGCCAGCCTGGAGGTCCCCCGTCCCATCGACTGACAGAAGACTCTGTAAGGCTCCTCCTGACCTTCCCAGCCCTTGATTGGGTAGATGCAACAGAACCTATGAAAGTCTATGTGGGCACGTTCCAAAGTTTGAAACAAATTTTTGACTTTTGGCCAAAATGCAGAAGATGCTGTGAATATCATTTTGAACTAGTGTAAATACAAGGAACAGAAGCGTTTGTCTGGACTTCTGGGTTTGTGCAAACTGTGTAAAAGGCAGGTGCCTGTCCAGCTTGTAATAAAGGGGCAGCTGCTGATGCCAAGCACTTGTCTGGGGCAGACCTCCTTGTCCTGACATTCCCAGACTCCCAAAGAATATTGAAAAGCCAGTTATAATATTGTGTAACTTATTTTTCTTTATGTGGATGGGGGACCTTTCAATCACTAAGTTGTTTTACAAAAAAAAAAAAGGTGGATGTGTTTGGAATATGGGAATACTATGGAGTAGGGGAGGGGTTAAGGTTCAGTGTTGCTTTCCCCCCACCCTCATCAAATGCTGACAGACACCAAGTGGAGTGACAGTCAGAATGCCTTCTTTCTGTTGGAGAAGACACACCTCAGGCCCTTTGGGAGAGGGTCAGCTGTTTTTAGTAAAGAAACCAGAGACCAGGCCTACAGCTTTTTTTTTTTTTGACACTTGTAAATTTTGGAGGGGGGCTTAAATCTAGACCTTTTCCCACCTCCCACCCTGTGATCACACAGTACAAGTTTGTAAAAAAAAAAAAAAAACCCCCAAAAAAAAAGGAAAAAACAAAACAGAAAACCCAAAGGACCAATACAGCCCATTTTGTAAGGATTTTGAATGTTTTGTAAAGTATTGGTCCATGTGTTGTATTTTGTAGCATTTCTAGTTCTTGGGCTTTAGTTCTCCCACTTCTTGTATGTATGCATACTGTAGTTACACATTAAAGTCATGACATGCAGCACGTGCCACTGTGCTTATTCTATCTAGTTCCATCCTACCTGGCCAGTTGATACCTTTCCAAGTCTGTTCCACCCATCCAAAATCTGCAGTTTTCTAGTGTGTTTTGGCCACTGCCTATTGAGAGCAACTGAGCTTGTCTTCTGTCTTGAGGTCAGAGGGGAGAATTGTTATGGACCCTGCTTTGAAGTGCAACAGGAAAGGACACAGTTGTGTGGAGACAGAAGTATCTTAGTTGCAAGTTCACGAGCAGAATTTGTCTCTGAAAAAGTTGTGCTGGCAAGGAGACGGCTTGTAGTGAAGGGGTGCAGAGCACACACAGCAGAGCAGCTGCATTTCTCATGACTTGCACCCTGCTATGATAGTTCCCTTCAGCAAGGATCTGTGCAAGGTTGTTAGTTACCTGTAATAAGGATAGGTGGCTTCAGTGTTGCTAATGCTGCAAACTCCTTTAGCCTATGCCTTGCAACCTGGCAGATACTAGGAAATAGAGGTTCACTGCTTTCTTTTTCAGATAACATTACTAGTTTGTTAAAGCTAGTTGACTGCTATTGTATGGGTGGAGAGGTCAAGATTTCCTGCTCAGGTTTAAGGGATTGCATACCTGGCTGTGCTTTTGCTGCACAGAACAAAAACTAGATCGAGGGGACCACTGAGCCAACTGTGCCAGTGGACTGCAGCTCAAGGGAAATTCTCTCTGTGACGTGTTTCTAGGCAGTGTTTTTTTCAATTGCCTGAGTGTAAAGGAGTAGCTTCTTGCCAGATCCTACAATTCCCTGGCATTTGTTTGGCAGCTCAGCAGTTGTACTGAAACTGAGCCTTTTGAAGTTGGAATTTTTTTGGTTCTGGTGTTGTAACTCCACTTTACTCTTCGTCCTGTATTGGGTTAGGAAATGGAGAATTATCAGCAAACAGTTTTTCTTTATCTAGTCTAGATGCCATGGGTTTTTTTCTGCTGTTTAACTCTAGCAAACCACATGCAGAGCTTTTTGACTTGTCCTAATGACTCAAAGCTCAAAGGTCTCTCGGGTTCTGTACTAATGCTGCTGTACGTGGCTGGTTCCCTTTAGGCTTTAAGAACTGGTGTAAAGAGGGGGTGGAAGGTGGACAGGACTCAGCCAGATAACAGAAGTTGGGCTGGTAGGATGGAGGCCACTGAACTTCATATCCTCTCTTAGCAGGTAAGGAACCTGCAGCTGGTGCTGTCAAAGAAAACAGTGCTGGTGTCAGCTCCCCAGGGATTACCAGTGTCCTTGCCAGCAGAGGCCCTGGGTACAATGCACTTCACGTTTAAGAAATGAAGACTAAGCTTTCAATCCACTGCATGCCTAGTTTGAAATCTAGTCTGCTGTAAAGAGAAGAGCCAAGATGGCAGACTGGATTCTATTACAGCATTACACCACTGTAAAAGGGGAGAAAAGTATCCTAGGTAGTGTTAAACCACTCTGGCCCCCAGCAGTGCAGGTAGAGCTGTAGCTGACCTTTATCTGTATGAGTACGTGGGGTTTGCTTGTTCGCAGTACTTCTAACTGCATCAGCAGCACAGATTTCCCCCCCCCGCTCTTAGATGGGGTTTTGCACCCAAAGTAGACAGCATTGGCTGGATAAGAAACATCATCTTTATTAAATATAGCTTGGCCTGTAAACCTCCAGTGTTTTGTCGTGCAAAAACTGCTGAGGGAAAAATATTAACATAGCTGAATGTGATGCGGAGCAATGCCTGAGTTCAGGGAAGAACTGTCTCAACTGGAGGGTGTTTGTCAAATGCTTAGCCTACAGCAGCTGCAGAACTGTGACAGTGCTCCTTTACAGAGCAGTCTCAAGCACATACAGAAATGCCTTTTATATACGTAAAAGGAAATATCTTGCTACAGTGAGCCTACATGAAAACCAGACGGATGGGCTTGTACTCAGTACTAACAAAATATAGGTGAAGAGTTCAGTTTGTCAGCATGGACACCTGCCAGATATTTACTCTGAACCTCTGTAAGGTAAGAGCTACCAGCTGGATTTTGGCCCTCTTCATCTGGACAAGGAGCAGTTCTTGCCTTAAATTTCTGATGCTAAATGAGGGAAACCACTTGTTATTATGACAGAGTATGTCTGTCTTCCTAAAGCAGCCATTAGGAGATCTGGGTGTTCTTAAGTCCTCTAGAAGAAGGTGGTAGTTGTGCTCCAGAGCTCTCATTGTAAGATAAGGCCACCCAAAACCACTTCTATGCTATGCAAGATTTGTTTGTTTATATTGAGGTAGCTAAAAAGCCACATGCCATTTGAGGGACAAGTGGACCCATATTTAATCTTGACATCTGTTCTCACTGCTGTAGAAGAGATGGCCAAAGGCTGACCTTCCCTTCCTAAGCACAGTTCCAAGCAGTTCACTTCCAGAGGCAGCAAGGCTTCTAGTGTACCAGCTCTAGCAGCTGGTGCAAGATCCTTTTCTGTCCATAGCGCACATGCAAAGCTTGCTGCTCCCTTTGACTCAGTTTCTTGTAAGCTGCCTTGTTATTTAGCAAGTCCTGCTCCGCTTTCAAGTCTGACCTGTAGGATGCCAGGGTCAGCAGCACACTGTCATAAAGGAGCTTCTTGCAAGGGGTTTTAAGTCTGGAGAGAGCCTCGTTAGAGAGGGTAGAATTTTCCTCTTCATTGCTGTCATCTTCCCAGCCATCTTGTTCCTTATACTCCTTGAATTCTTCTTCTGACATGCACAGCACCTGTAATGACCCAGGCAAAGAGACAAGTCACTGGCAGTGTGAGTACATCAGACTTTCTTCTCTACAGAAGTGTGGTCTTAGAGCCACATGGAGTGAGCAGGTGAATTATTCCTCAGCTGCACAAAAGGTGGGAGAGTAAAACTGGCTTAAATATCTAATCACAAGTAACTTGTGGGTTAGAACATTCAAACAGCAAACCTGGGTGCTGGGAACAGTCTTAAGGGATATCTTGGCTGCTACCTACAAAGGTGCAGAGCTCTCTAGAATGGCAGTAGCCCCAGAGCCATTCAAGACCAGTTCGTAAGTACATGTGGATAGTTAGTTCAGGAGAGGAAGACAACGGTAACTGTACCCGAAGCCTGGGGAGATGGGTAACCGCATCCCCTACCACTTTTCACGCAGGAGTGTTAGTACCAAAATGCCTTTGCTTGCCACCCTTCATTGAACCATTTTGCATGCTGGTTTGCATGGCTGCAGTACGCTTAGTCTGTGCTCTTGTGTAGCTCTTTCACCACTTGGCAGTGCTTACCTTTAGGGTCATGGACAGCTCTTCCTCTGTTAGCACCTCATCCCAGCCAAGCACAAAGGCACCTTCCTCCCCCACCATCTCCAGCTGGCACAAGAAGTCCCACTGCTCTGAGACCAGCTGCTGCTGTGCTTCACTTTTGGCACCTGTTTTGAAGACAGCAGAGCTGTGAACCCAACTTGGGTTGCAGTGGAGGGGGGGATGGTGAATGGAGAAGGGGAAACCGGAGGCAGAAAACCAAGGCATAGCCCCAGCACCTGAAATACTGTGGAACAGGCTTATTTTTCATGTCACCCTTGATCCCTGTTTCATTACATTGCTATTTAACAGAGATCCCTGCTCCATGCTTTCCCAAAGTGGCTACGGGTGCCACTCACGCTGCAGTGCTGCCTTGCGTACTGTCACCATCTGGATGTCAGCTGTGTCGTTGGTGTTGCCAGGGTACGGCTCCGCGAAGCCATACATGTGTAGGAGCTGCCAGTTGGCCATCTGCCCATATGTGTTGAAGATCTCTTGTCCTTTGCTGACAGGCTGTGTTGTAACCATTCGTAAACATTGCTGCAAGCAGGGAGAGAAGAGGCTCTCAGAGCTGCAGTGGTCCTGCCACTCAGAAACAAGGTGTTTCAAAGAGGCTCAGTGACCCTAAGCTCTTCCTAGCTAAAGCCAGGGCTGCAGTAGGGGAGTATGTTGAGCAAAATAGCTTCATATTAATGAGATCCAGGCCAGACTCGCTTGCTGCCCTGGCAGGTAAGCAGTGCTGCTCTGGGTTCAGAGAGCCAGCCTTGCTGTGCCACCACTCCCAAAGGCCTTGCAGTGAAGAGGAACCAGACTCTGATGATGCCTGGCAGAGCGGCTTTGCACTCACAGGAGAGTATTCCAGGTTGGCGTTGTGGTTGGCCACATGATTCAAAATATCTGCTACAGGCACCATCATTGGAGGATTGGGCCCCTTCTCATCTTCATCTTCCTCCTCCAAAGGCTCCTGAAAGCTAAGACAAGGGAGATGAAGACAAGCCTGTTTCACACCTTGCAGCACAGGGCAAGCTTCACTGTATACTTAAAAGGTTGCAGTTGCACAAGAACTTAAGTAACAGGGCCTATAATGTTTCCTGTGATGGTACTCCTTGCCCTTGCTCCTGTTAGAGCAAAGCCCTCACTTCTCACCTGTAGGCCATGACAAATGCCACCAGCTGCTTGTACAACTCCAGCGTGTGCAGCTTGGGGTCAAAGATGTTGGGGTGGGACTCCATGAAGGGTAGGATGATGGAGCTGTACTCCAGGTGGATGTTAGCCAGGTCTTTGTCCACTGCATCTGGGATGCCTGTGCCCTGCAGGAGCCTTGTTCGCTCTTCTTCAGGCCTGTGGCAAGAAAAACAGCAGGTTTATCTCTCATCTGCCCCAAGGAGAACGGTTTGTGAACTCCTTTCTCTTTTAAAATCTCAACTTCCTGGTGCTCTCCAGACTCCTGTTTTCTGGTATGGTAGTAGCTAGCTCCAACCCCAGGTAGGGGGGTCCTTGAGGCTACTGCCATTGACAGCACAGGGCTAGAACAGAAGGATGAAGTCATGCAGTAAGACCACATCCAGCCCCAAGAGTCCTGGTAAGCAGCCCCTGCATTCAGTTGTCAAATCAGGCTACCCCACAGCCCCACCTGGTTTCACCTTACCAGAACATAGGGTGATCCAGGCTCCTGAAGTCCTGCCAGAGGGAGAAATAAGGCTGCCAGTGGGAGTTGCTGGCTGTGTACTCGTGTAGCAGGGCCAGCAGGAGGGGCACCCAACCGGACTGGCTCTGCAGGGACTCCTGGGCTAAGAAACCAGAGTTGATGGAGAAAGTGTAAGTTGATCTGAAGTTTTGGTCCTTTCCTCTGAGACAAGTCTTCCAAGAACCAAAGCTTGATCCTACAAGCATCCTTGCCTGTCTTCAGCCTGGGGTGGGGAGTTCTGCTTTTACTCCATAAGACCTCTCCAGGCTTGGGTTTGTCCTGAGCTGAAGCAGAACCAGAAGCTGCTGCTCTGGAGCGATGGATGAGCCAGAACTTGCCACACTGCCTTGCTGTCCTCACCCTGAGCCTCTGGGTGCCTTCAGCAAGAAAGGAATCATTCTTTTTCCTAGCAATGGGCTTTTCCCACTGCCCAGCATGGCTCCAGGCTCCCTTAGGAAGGCGATAGGGTGCCTGACCACCCCCTTTCCTACCTGGTGGCTAACAGCCCTGCAACCCCCTGCTCCACCATCCTGCACAAAGCA